AAAAATTAAATAAAAAAAAAAAAAAAAAAAAAAAAAAAACATGAGCTGTCTGATTAATTGGTCTATATATGACGTGGCCCAGTTATTATTGTTTCCCTTCCTCAATTATTGCTGACCTTGTCGTTTCTAAGATAAATCATCTTTTCTTCACTTTTTAAAGATAATCTTTAATTCTTATTCAAAATTTTAAAATAAATAAATTTCTAAAAATAAAAAAAGTAATTTTTTATTTTTCAATTTTTTGAAAACATACATAAAAAATATTTTTTATAATAAGGAAATACAATAATTATTATTGTTATTTTTTGAATCTAAATTGAACGGTGAATGACTTTTACCGCGAGGGTAAAAAGTTTTGAATTACCGTTCATCTCCATTCCAAGCGTCCTTCATCTTGGGTCCGGTTGGTCCTTCTTCTCCAAGAATTTCGTTCGGTAACTTCTTCACAAATCCTTTAAATCCCTCCTTCAATCTCCCCGGCAGCAACCTCTCCGCCCTTTCGATCTCCTCCGTGATTGGATACTCAATTCTCGGTCCCCATTCTCTGGTGTAATTCAACCACGGCGGCTCCGCCACCGCCAAATACTCAGCTGCAACCACCGTGTACTTCTCACCGGAGTCAAGCATCAGTCCACTCTTCGCCGTCTCATTTCGAATCCCGATCTCGGATAACCCCTGCAGCACCAACCCCTCCTTCGGGTATGACGCGTGACCGTTCAACGACGAATACGCCACCACTTTACTTCCTTTCTCGAACTCGAGCGACGGCGCGTCGACCCACTCGCCTTTGCTGTGTTGTGCAAAGTAAACCCGCCAGAGCTCGCCCGTGAAATTACTTATCCGTAACGTAATGTGCTCCCAATCGCCGATGTGTTCGCCGATTTTTCTAAATGGAATGTCGATTAGCCCGACCTTCACCGTCGCTGGGCCATTGAAGGGGAAGAAGATCCATATCCCGATGTCGGTGAAAATCCCTCCGATCATCGGCTTCACATGGAGATAGACTTTTGAGGTTTGTAAATCCCCATTTTTTAATTTCTCTTCTGCTTCCTCGTCGGCGGGAAGATCTAACCAGAACTGTCCATCATTGTCGCCCCCTTGAGGCAAATTCGACCCATCCGGTTCGATAGGAACCGGATTTGACTCGTCGGATTTATCATGTAACAGAGCCCCGCCGGAGAAAAACCACTCCACCGACGACGGTAGGTATTTTTCTTTTGGGTGAAAGTATATAATCGGAGAATAAGTTTGAAACAGATGATCAATTTGATTCAGATCCGGCATAGCTGCTGATACCGAATTCAAATTCCTCAAACAGAATAACGGCCGCGGCGGCGAACTCGCTTCCGCAGGGGGCAGAGCTACAAAAGCGCCGGTTGAAACTCCAGTCGCCGTCCTTCCTCTGTTTTTTGGTCTGCTACTGTAAACATTAAATCGATTCTCGTCAATTGATTTCGTCAGCCCCCAAATCCATGTCTCCTTCTCACATTCCTCCGTTAGATCCGATCGAACGCAACGAATTTTATCCACGGAGGGTTTCTCCGGCGAGACTGTGACGACATGGCCGACGGCTCTGTAACCGGCCGGCGGCGTCGGCAACCAGACATAGCCGTTACCATCTCGTTTAATCTTTGACGACTCGCTGCTCCAAACCAGAGTATAATCCACAGGCTTCTGGAGAGCTTCTTCTCCGGCGGACCCACTATTTTTACCGGCGAGAACAAATCCAAACAGAGCTTTACTGTTTGTTTGACAGAAATAGCCCAAAACGAAGAATCCTTCAGGAAGTGAACTGGGTTCGAAGAATGTAGCTCCAAGATTCTCCGGCCCACCTTCCCGGGCGGTCCAAATCCTGTTAAACGACGAAATCAGCCGGACTTCGAGCCCGCCGCCCAAGTCGATTGCGCCAGAAGCAAATCCTCCGCCGTTGTTGGCGCCCTCGGGGTGCCAGGCCGGAAGAGGGGAAGGGAAAGAGAATTTAGAGTCAATGGGGAGGGGCTTGGGAGGGGTTGAAGATGAAGAAAAGCAGTTCCCCATTAATGGCGGAAATTGGAACTAAACACAGATTTTTTTGATTGAATTGGATTGAGAAGTGAGAGAAAATGGATTGAATTTCGAAGAGCTTCGCCTTGTTTATTTAAATCTACATTTTTTTATTATTATTGTTTTTTTTTTTTTTTTTTTTTGTTGCCATTTCATATGAAACTCCTTTGATTCTCAATGAGTTTTATTTTGTTTTGGGTAATCTCAAGAAAACAAATTTTATAAACAAGTATTTATTTTATTTTCTTCGTAGCATAGTTGCGTGTTGGAGAAATGGGAAAAGGAAAGGAAAAAATAAATAAATGGAAATTTGTCAAATTAATGCTTTTTTTTTTTTTATAAAAAAATTCAAAATTTATTAAACATTAATCAGATAATTTAATATAATTCAACAATAATTTTGAATAACTTAAAAAACAATAAAAATTATAATCAAACTTATAATTCAACATAAAATTAATATATTTTATTAAATTTGCAACCATTTAAATGGCGTAAATAATTAAAATTCAATTGGTTGTGTGTTGATTTAGTATTCGATCTTTTAAAAATGTGAATCTCTCCTTAATTTGAATGACATAATCGATACACACGAGAATACGCTTACCTACATTCATAGAATAAGAATTAGGCTCCGAACAATTTTTTTTTTTTTTTTTTTTTTACATATTTAATATTGAGTGATAATCTTATCATGTTTGTTTTGCTTGTTCGTAAGGATTTAGTCTTTGAGACTTTTTTATTTTTATTTTTTTATGAGTTCAATGCTTGACGTGAAAGACAATTTAATTCTTTACATAAATTCTCACGTTGTAATTTAAAATATTACCAAATAATGGTAATGAACTAAATACATAAAATTTAAAATATTAGAAACATTTAAAATTCAATAAAATTCGTTTTTTTTTTTTTTTAATTTTTTGGCAGCCATTAATGATATTCAGAAGCTTTTAACTGCGTTCATCGCCGTTCCAACTATCCTTCACTATGGGTCCGGTGGGTCCGTCTTCTCCAAGAATTTCGTCTGGTAATCGGTCCACGAAGTTCCTGAAACCCTCTTTCAGTCTTCCCGGCAGGATTTTCTCCACCTTCTCCACCTCCTCTGAGATTCTGTACTCAATTTTTGGTCCCCATTTCCAGACGAAGTTCACCCACGGCGGCGCTACCACCGCCTTCCCCAGATACTCGCCTCCTATCACTGAGAAGCTCGCTCCGGTGTCCAGCACCATTTCGCTTTTCGCCGTCTCGTTTTTTAGTCCGATCTCTCCCCCGCCCTGCATTACCAGTCCGGCTTTCGAGTACGACGCGTGGCCGTTCAACGACGAGTACGCCACCACTTTATTTCCATTTTCGAACTCCAGCGACGGCGCGTCGACCCACTCACCTTTACTGTGCTGCCCAAAATAAACCTTCGACAGCTCGCCGGTGAAATTACTAACCCGTAACGTTATATGCTCCCAATCGCCGATGTGTTCGCCGATTTTCCCTAACGGAATGTTGATTATCCCAACCTTCGCCGTCGCGGGTCCGTTGAACGGAAAGAATATCCATATCGTTATGTCCGTGAAAATCCCTCCGATCATTGGCTTAACCCTGAGATAGACTTGGCAGCTCCGTAAGTCGCCATGTTTCACCAACTCTTTTGCGCCGCCGTCGATGGGAAGGTCCAGCCAGAACTCGACGTTGTTCTCGGCGCCCTGAGGGAGGTTCGTCCCATTTGGTTCAACCCGGACTGGGTTCGATTCGTTGGATCTGTTGTAAAGCAGAGCGCCGTTGGAGAAATACCAGTTCACTGACGCCGGCAGGAATTTCTCCTTGGGGTGAAAGTAAATCAACGGCGCATAAGCTCGAAACAGAGTGGTGATCTGAGAAATATCCGGCATTGCTGAAGAAATTGAAACAGAGTTTCTCAAACAGAGCACTGGCAGAGGCGTCGCCGTGCTCGAAATGGCGGCGAATGACCCGACGGAAACCCCCGCCGCCGAGATTCCTCTGATTTTGGGTCTGAAACTGAATATATTAAACCCATTTTCGTCGATTGAATCTTTGAGTCCCCAAATCCAATTCTCCTTTTCCGATGGCTCTGTTAGATCTGTACGCACGCAACGGATTCTGTCTACGGAGGGCTTTTCCGGAGAAGTAGTGACAACGTGGCCGACGGCGCTATAACCATTCGGCGGCGTCGGCAACCAAATGTAGCCATCGGTGTCACGTTTGATGTTGGAATTCCTGCTTGACCAGACGAGGACAAAGTCGAGGGGCTTTTTGAGGACGGCGCCGTCAGGAGAGTCATCTTTTCCGGCGAGAGTCCAGGCGAAGAAGGGCTTGTTGTTGGGATGACAGTAATGGCCGAGAGAGAAACAGCCTTGGGGAAGAGGAGAGGGTTCGAAGAACGTGGCGCCGAGGTTGTTTGGACCACCGTCGTGGGTGGTCCAGATTTTGTTGAAGGATGAAATCCGGTGGATTTTCAGTCCGCCGCCGAGGTCGATGACGCCTTCGCCGAAGCCACTTTCCCCTGCACAATCAAAGTGAGTGGAAGAGTTAATTTTTTTTTATCCAATTGATTTATAAATTTACAAAATAAAATAAATCTCTTTTTTTTTTTCTTTTCAATTTTATGTTTAATTATATATATAAATAAATGAAAGTGATGTCATGTGTAAATTATGATTATATTGAAAACTTCAAAGTTGAAACGTTTTAAAGGAGAAAAATATAATTACGTAAAACAATTATTTATATTTTAATTAAAAAAATGTCATTATTTTTATTTGTATATCCTTTTTCAAAGCATTTAAATTGTATTAACTCCAATTTTCTTTCCAACCATCCTTTTAGAGTGCAAGTTATAACCTTTTCCATCTTCCTAAAAAGTCAACAAAAAAAAAAAAAAGCTAGAGAGACAATATTTGTCAATTTTCATTCTCGTAGCTGTATTTGATTCCTGCATACCGTTCGTTCAGATGAATATCTAATTGATATACAATAATTCTCTCTCGAGAACCTATTTTTCTCTTGTATCGTTCATCTAACCAAAGGAAAACGAACCGACAACGAGAATCATAAATAGAGATATTTCAAGCCCAACGTTAAAAAGAAAATTAGATAGAAACCTGGTGGAAAAGTTGGAAGTGGAGAAGGAAACTTGAAGGTGGTGTCAATGGGCAAAGGGTGGCTATGGTTCTTGGACTTGCTATTCCCCATTGATGTTCTAAGCTTCAAACCTGTGTGAGAAGACAAGAGAGATGAAGAAGATGAGTGTTTTATAGGCCATATTTATATAAACCCAATTGTGTGTGAACCTTAATACAATGCTTTGGAGAAACCTTTGACTTCTCTTTTACATCAAGTTCGGCTAATCTTTTTTTTTTTTTTAATGATTCCTCTTGTTTTATTGTTTTTATATGTTCTTCTTCATCCAATGAGTGGGAGAATTATTGTTATAATTCATCGATCATTATCATTAATGTTATCATTAGATTATATTAAGAATCATATTATTCGTGACGGGTATGTATTGATTTTTTTATGTTTTAAATTTTAGGAAAACAAGATATAATTGTTATTTATTTATGTATTATTATTATTATTTTGCAATTTTATTTAATTTTAATTGTGCTTATGTTTTAGAATAATTTAATTTTGATGTTTATTTCCAAATTTAACCTTCAAGAACAGTATAATTTTAAAAATAAAAATAAATAAGAGAAAAAATGTAAAAAAGAAAAGTCAAAATCTAACCAACCACGAACTAACAACTCATTATTTTTATAATGAAAAAAAATGTGTTTTTAGTTTTATTTTAAATTTATGGTCAATGTTTATACGAAAATGTAGACTTTTGTCTCATTTAATATTTTATACTTTTCCATGCCATACCTTCCACATGCTTTATTTATTTATAATATATATATATATTATATATATACACACATTATCCATTTGTTTCAGGCAATTTGAAGGTGGGCCTGGACTTAAAATATTAAGGCCCATATTTGATTTAAGTTATGGACTTAAAATATTAAGGCCCATGTTTGTTTTAAGTTATGGACTTCAAATATTAAGGCCCATTTTCTTTGGACCAATCCAAAAAATTTGATGGGTAATCCAACCCGACCCAGTTTATATATATATATATATGTGTGTGTATATATATATATATAATTACCAAATCTCATGTGACTATATCTCGTATTTGAACTGTCTATTTTAAACGTGAAACTAGATGAAAAATATTGACACTATAAACGTTGATTTTGCTGATTTATGAGCTTTAACAAGAAAATATAGTACCGTTTTATCGATTAAGATACTCCTATTTTCGAGTTGCTTTTCTTTTTCTATACCCACAAAACTTCGTTTGAAAAAAATAAACTTTTAAAGATAAGCGATCAACACAAGCTTTTATTCAAGGTTAGATATATAACTCCAAATGGCGAAAAAAAAAAAAAATCTTGAATTAGTAGAAGGCCTGCAATAATTTAACCAAAAAATAAAATCAAAAGAGAGGACAAAGCCACGTGTAGTTTAAGAAGACCCAACATTCAAATTTTATTCATTAACTTATGAATGTCACATAGTGACACAATAATAAGACATTCACATCTTACCATATTCTTCCTACATTATTTTAATTACAAACCCAATGGATCAAAAATAATAATAATAATAATAATAATAATATTATTATGCTAATTTATTAAAACAGTACATAAATAAACCAAAACCACGTATGACTATAAAATCTGATTATGAGGTGCACATTCATTTTTGTGACTCAATCATAAAAGACTTCAGAGTAAAGTGTAATTAGCTTAGAGTAACAAAAAAAAAATGCAGAAAAGACTCTTGTTCGTTTGAGGGGATAAGTTTCACTTAGAAACCACAAACAGTTAACTGGACGTTGTCATACAATAAGACAATAGATTTCTTAAAATTATCAAAATTAAAACTCCTATTAAATATATTTTTAAAACTCGTTTATAACTTACCTATTAAATATTTTTTTAAAACTCGTTTATAAGTTATTTTAAGAATAATTAACTGAAAACTTTTTTTAGGTTAAAATAAATTATTTTCACGACAACCAATAAATAAAATCCACTGTCTTCCTTATCCTTCTCGCGCAACCACAACAGTATAAAGTACACCACAGCCTCGGCTGTCTGGTGCAGTTGCAGCAAAATCATGGCTCTTCAATGGAGAACAGACATTTTTTCCACCTTCCTCCTTATCGTCTTCTTCTTAATTTCTCCAATTTCATCGCTTCAATCCGCCATTAATGTCTGGCCAAAACCAAGAGTCTTCAATTGGCCCGATCCCCAAGCCGCTCTTCTTTCCCCCAATTTCATCATCATTTCTCCTCGCCACCACTACTTCTCCTCCGCCGTCGATCGTCACCTCCGCCGCATTCTCACTGAGAAACACCGCCCCCTCGTTGACCCTTCAGTCAACATCTCCTCCTCTGCCTCTCCCTTGCAGAAACTCACCGTCTCCGTCGCCGATCTCTCTGCCCCACTCCAGAATGGCGTCAACGAATCATATTCTCTCCACATTTCCCTCACCGGCTCCGCCAATTTGGTCTCGTCTACGGTCTGGGGCGCCATGAGAGGCCTCGAGACGTTCTCTCAGCTTGTTTGGGGTGACCCACTTCGAGTCCCGGTTGGGGTTTCGATTTGGGATGCGCCATTGTTTCAACACAGAGGGTTGATTCTCGATACGTCGAGGAATTACTATGGAGTGGAGCATATTTTACGGACGATTGAGGCGATGGGTATGAATAAGCTTAATGTTTTCCATTGGCATATAACCGACTCACATTCTTTCCCTCTTGTGCTGCCATTGGAGCCGGAGCTTGGTGCTAAAGGGGCTTATAGAGATGATATGAAATATTCCCCTGAAGATGTTCGACGAATTGTCAAGTTCGGAATGGAACGCGGAGTTCGAGTCATGCCGGAAATTGACTCCCCTGGTGAGTTAAACTCTCTTGATTTTGATCTTTAAATCTGAATCCGCCAATTGGGTTGTTGATTGTATGATCATTACTTGTTTGGTTCTGTATATATGGTTGAAAATCCCTTACTTCCCCTGTTTTATTCTGTATGAAATTGGGTTGAATGTATCATAAATTCTCGGGGAACTGGTTTAGAGTATTGAATTCAGCTGGATGATGATGATAATATGATGATGATGAATGAATTTGCCATAATAATGTAGAGAATTGTGATGTAATTTGCAGGACATACTGGCTCATGGGCTCTGGCTTACCCTGAGATAGTGTCATGTGCAAATATGTTCTGGTTACCTGCAGGGTACAAATGGGAAGACCGGCTGGCTTCAGAGCCAGGGACTGGCCATTTGAATCCCTTGAACCCCAAGACGTATGAAGTCCTCAAAAACGTCGTTCGGGATGTCGTCGATCTTTTCCCCGAATCGTTTTACCACTCAGGCGTGGATGAGATTGTCCCGGGATGTTGGAAGGCTGATCCATTGATCAAATCCTTCTTATCAAATGGTGGAACTCTCAGCCAAGTTCTTGAGATCTTTGTCAATACCACCTTCCCTTTCATTCACTCCCTTAACCGAACCGTCGTCTATTGGGAAGACGTATTGCTCGATGACATAGTCAGAGTTCGACCAGAGTTTCTCCCTCGTGAGAACATCATCTTGCAGACTTGGAACAATGGTGTTAACAATACGAAAAGAATCGTTTCTTCGGGGTATCGAGCGATCGTGTCGTCGTCAGAATACTATTATTTGGACTGTGGCCATGGGGACTTTCTTGGAAACAATAGTCAGTATGATGAACAAGAAAATGGTGAGTATAAAAATGGAGGGTCATGGTGTGGACCTTTCAAAACATGGCAAACTATATATAACTACGACATAACTTATAAACTGAGTGAAGAGGAAGCTAAATTGGTGTTGGGCGGGGAAGTGGCATTGTGGTCTGAACAAGCCGACCCAACGGTGCTGGATGCTCGGCTATGGCCTCGCACTTCAGCAATGGCGGAGTCACTTTGGTCTGGAAACCGAGACGAAAGCGGTAAGAAGAGGTACGCCGAGGCAACAGACCGTTTGAATGAGTGGAGAAATAGAATGGTGAAGAGAGGCATCGGAGCCGAACCAATTCAACCACTCTGGTGCGCTCGAAACCCCGGCATGTGTAATACTGTTCAAAAGATATAATAGTTCTATACCGATGAATCTTTCCATGGATCATATCTTATTATTTTAAGAACATATGATACAGGAAAGACATCAAAATCAATAGTATTTTATCACTTACTTAGATTAATGTCCTTCAATTTGTTGCAAGTAAAGTCTCGAGGTCGTATCTATATCATATTCGACGGAAGATGTTTTGGTTCGATGTTGTATCTCGTAACATATAAATTAGATCGTGTATATCTCTCTTCATGTATTAAAATATAAATTTCTTATTAATACATTAGATCCCATAATATGAGCTACATGATTGAGTGAGTGTTTATAGGAGTCGTGGGTTTATAGGAGTCGAGATAGATTTAAATCATTAGACTCGTGATGTTTTCATTTGTTCATGATTCTTTTGTGATTATTTGGAGAATGATTTGCCGTGTCTCATGTAAACTTGTGCATTTTCTTTTCAAACGAATCTATAATTTTACAAGCTTATGTATCTCGGTAGAGTTACATTTGGGTTGAATTTGAGATTTGGTAGTGAAGAAAGAGCTTTTAATTTGTCAAGGAACTTGTCTATGAAATGACTTGAATCAGCAGGCTTGAACATGGCACCATTGACGTTCACGACTCCTGGGTTCTGACTGTTATACACAGAGAAAATGGTAGCGGTCTCATAACCAGAATTCAGACAGAAGTGCAACAACCCCTTTGGAAATACGATTACGTCGCCTGGTTTTAAAAACTCTTGAAAGAGTCGGTTTTTGGTATCAATGAATCCAGCTAGAACGATGCCTGCAAGGAAGACAAACACACAACTCCTTACTCTAATACCATGTTAAATACACAACTCCTTACTCTAATACCATGTTAAATCACCGCTCAACCCAATACGTACCTTGATTCACAAAGAACATCTCCGTGGCTCTCGGATGCGAGTGAGGAGAAACGATGGCATCCGTGCCCAAATCAGTTCTAGAGATAGATAGCCCGAGCGAATTCAAGCCAGGGAAGTCTGCAGCCGTGACGACCTTCACCAACGAGCTGAACCGATCATCGGTATTGACCGGTCCCGTTAACTTTGCTGAGGTG